CCCCCCCCCGAAAACAAAACCTCAGTATAAACGGCGTGTAGCTCAGCTATGTCTCTGTCTCTCCCCCCACTCCAAAACTGCCGGTACAAACAGCACGCAGTTGTGTGTGTGTCGTTCCCCCCCAATTGAACAAAATCACAGATGAAATGAGCGCCCCACCATGGTAAGTTATTTAGGAGAAACACTGATGTCACTTTCAAAATGACCAGACTATCCCTTTAAATTTTAGTGTATTTTCTGCAGTTGACAGACGCTACTGTCAGTGTTCAATACAGCACAACAAATTATTATTGTTGTTTTTTTTTACATTTAAGACAGAATGTTAAGATGCACTTTGTAATTTTAGGACTGTGTGTTGCTTTTTTAAGAATGTCCACATGTAACTCCACACTGCTACGCTGAGTCAAACCAAAATGTGCAAGATAGTTTTGTGGTGAATAATTCCAGCTGATGATGTGTTTACTGTTAAAGGAGATGAGTGGTGTGTGTGCGTGTGTGATGAATGTCTGTTCTGACACATCAGTCCACAGTTTTATTGTTATTTTGAATGTAATGTGTCACATCCTCCCACCTGGAAACTGAAACTGACCTTTCTGTCTCCATCTTTCTAAATAAAACGATGCAACGAACTGAACCGACTTCAGCCTTGTTTTCACTTGTGCTTGTGGACGGTGATTCTTCAAATCAGTGAAATTCATCCCTCTGACTGTCCATGACAGGAAGTCATCTTCCTCACTTTAAGTCATGCTTGCTGGACGGCCGTTTTTGGTTCAGGCGACTGTTTTTAACTGCTGTTTTTATTTTTATTTTTTTTGTTGGTAGTGTTTTCCATGTTTCTTTATTTATTTTGTGGGGAGTGGAGAGTAACATTTGATCTCTAAATATTTCATAACTTTGGTGCACTTTGAAATTTACTTCATGATACCTTTGTGTCTCCATTAAGCACTGTTTTTAACTTTTTTTTTACGCATTTTTGTTGGCTTAAGTTTCCTTATTCCTCTATTTGTCTTGTGTTTTTATGCATCTGTTTGCTTATTCACCCTGATTATATTTTGTCTCCATAAGTTTCCTTCCTATCTTTGGTTCCTTATGTGACTTTTTATTTCCAATTGCATCATTTTTATCTTTTTGTCTCCTATATCCATTTGGTCTTTTTTGTCCTTTTAAACTCTAAATGCAAATGTTTTCGCTTTTTGCCTCATTTATAATTTTTTATGTCTCCTTATATTATTTTCCACCGTTCAGCCTTTTTCATCCTCCTTTCTTTCCCTTCTTTAAATATTTCAGCTAACATTGAAAGGTCATCTGTTATTAATGTCACTTTCATATTCTACAGCAAATAGCAGCCATTCGGCACTCACTTAGGATTTATGTTGCATTTTTGCAGAAAACAAGTTTTTCTAGTTTAAAGCTTGAGCAGGAACATTTACATTGACTGGACTTGAGTCATTATTTACTTTATTTATTTATTTACTTTATTTAATTTAACAGGCAAATTAAAAAAGATGTGCTCAGTGTAGATAAATAGACCATCATACCTAACTTTCTCGGTGTTAAAACACATGTTCTGTTAAATCAGTAACTATGACCAAAAGTGCTAGCAGAGTTTTTATGTATTTATTAGTGCATTTCGTTAAAGCCCAGCTACGTGCTGCGGGGGGGATGATGTTGAGCGCAGCTGTGTCTGACCTCTCGGCGGGCGCCATGTTGAAATGCGCTCTCGTTGCCTGTAGCTTAGCAGCAGTTAGCCACCAGTCTGACTGAGGGCAACGACGTGATGGAAATTGACTCGCTTGAAGAGGCTCTCAGAGGTCACATAATCTTTTTTAGACTGAACTGCTTTGAATATGACAACTTGATAAATATATATTTACATTCTCGTTCTGTTTTTATAATGAATTAATGGATAGTAGTTTAGAAGCTAGCGCCGTTAGCTTGCCGCTACTTAGCCAGTGCTAACAACAAGGCTTTTACGGAAACTTAGCTGCCGAATATATTAGCCAGGACTCGGCTAACGCGTTATAATTATTTCTTATTATATTTATGAATCTGCTCGTTTCTTCCCTCTTTGTTTAAATGAATTGCACGCTAGTGTTTTAAACGCATTAGCTTTGTGATGTGTTTTGTTTTTTAAGACGGCTGAAAGCCGGTTTCGGCTAACTTAGCATAGCAGGCGGTGCGCTAAACTGGAGCTAGCTTTTGATACTGAGCGTTTGAAACTAGATTGATTTTACAAATTGATCGGGCTAATCAGATAATTGAACGGGACAAGTGCCATCGAAAGTTATAAAATAGACCATGGTTGTAGAAAGGCGAGTCATCCTGCTTCAGTGGCGGTTCTACAGTAAATGATAGGCTTTATGTAAATGGTAACCAGTTCACATAATCGTGTCTGTTTGTTCACCTCGTGGTTCATTCTTTCCACCTTCAGATTTTGACAAGAAAACAAAGAAGGAGCCATCCCCTGTTTTGGAGCAGTTTTTATGCCATGTTGCCAAGACTGGACAGACCATGTAAGTGAACACTACAGGCCCTGTCTGTTCAACAGAACAAATGTACTTTTCATTTTTCTGGCTGCTCAGTTTAATTTGAAAGGTGAATAAAAGTAGCATGGTACCAAGGCAGGCCTCCCAAATTCATGTACTGTGCCATGAATTTGTCTTTAGTTTTTGAGAATTATTTATCTCGGGTTTTTTTTCCTCTAAATTTAAACGTACGGCCAGGTGTACATAACTGTGTGCACATAGTTAAAAAGCACACAAGACCTTATTACAAAGTTATCAGTTTTACGGATGGCAAATTCATTCACAAAAATAAGGAAACACGTTAGTATATGAAACAGAAATATTTAAAAGATTTAAGAAATACTGGCATGCTAAAAACGGAGAAGAAACTCCCAAATATACAGAATAAGTGACGTATTGAGTTGGTGTTGCTAACAGCAGCCAGCTTCTGTTATTAACCAACTCTTAGCCTCATCAAAGTTTATAAAGTTGTCCTGAACTGAACTCCAGAACAAAATGTTTTCTGCATTTTTTTATTGCATTTCAGTGCCTTGTGTAAATTTACCCTAAATTTAAATAAATTAAATATACTAATCTATCTATCTATCTATCTATCTATCTATCTATCTATATATCTATATATATATATATATATATATATATATATATATATATATACCATAACATAATGATAAATGTAATACATTAAATATATTTATATAGATGTATATATTTGATATAAGTTTCAATAAATTTACCCTATTCATTTTCTTTGCTTCCCTTCAGGGTTCAGTGGTCTGAATTCAAGAATTATTTCTTGTTTAAATTGGAGAAGGTGATGGATGACTTCAGCACCTCGGCACCAGAGCAAAGAGGACCTGCAAATCCTAATGTGGAGTCCGTTCCATTCGAGGACATGAAGGAGAGAATCTTGAAGATTGTGAAGGGATACAATGGGTAGGTATCAAGCTGGGCAGGTAATTTCTTATCTGCTCAGGGAGCAGTCGGATAAAGACTGGCTTGTAATGACCAACATTAACCTCACTTACCCTAACTTTTTAAAATGGTAAAAATTACTACTATAACTTTAAAATGGATTTTCATAATTTTAAGTGATTTTGTTCAGTAGTTTAGGCCTTGTGAAGAGCTTCCAAAGTTTTCTTTTAACTTTAGCTGCTTTTTTCACTAGTTTTAGAAGCATCACTGTACCTGTCCTTAACATGTATAGGATTTTTATTTAGTCGTTGTGCATTAGAACTTTTTATTTTAGGCATTGCTGGTGCTTTACAACTTTAAACATTACTGTTCTATGTCATATAAGCTTCGCCCTTTAAGGCCTTCGCTTTAGTGGTTTATCCCGTTATGCAGAGCATAAGCACTGAAAAAATTAGTCCACGCCCACCTGCTGTGTGGGCCCCACCCGGTCCGTATAAATTACGTTAAGAGCGGGAAATCGGCTCCCATTTTTTCTTCAGCGAGCTAATATAGCACTGTCAGAAGAACAAAGAAGATAAGTTGTGTAAATGACCAACCTTGTGAAGGATGCTGGGCCCGGCAGTCGACCTCCGGTCGTCCGGTGAGCTCTCCTCCCCGAGGAGAAGATGACAGCAGTCTTATTCCAAGGTAAGCGCCGGGGAACATTTCCCAGTGACAGGTCACTACACGCTGGACAACGCCATCTTGTATTTTTTCCTCTTATCGCCGACCCTCGGGGCGAACCGGATGGTTCCTCCGGTGCAAGGCGTGCTCAGCTGCAGCCCCGCTGCTCATTCCCTCCTGGGGAGCGTAGTGTCGGTGGAGGGGGGCTGAGTGAATGCTCACCCCATCCCACCTCGTTTTTTTTTTTTTCTTTTTTTTTTCGCATCGGCGATCACACCGCTCCCGGCCGACGGCGCCCCCCAGGGTTTGCCCGGCGTAACCCAGGAGGAGGCTGACATGAAAGGACCCCTTTTTACGTCCTACGCCTTTTCCCGCCAGTTCGGATGATCCGGCGGGAAGGTTGTTTACTGACTCCATTCCGGCTCACCGTCTTGATCCATATGGCCTCGTGTTCCCAACAGGACGTCCTACGGCGAGGCCACAGACGGGTTTTTTCCTGGTAGATTGGGGGAGCCGGTCTCCACAGTCCGCACCCATCTCCAGAGCAGGGTTCACTGAGCGGAAAGTCCCTCCGTGCCCTCTGGAGCCGAGCCTGATGGAGGCTCCATGGGAGTAAGATGTTCGAGGTGGACCAGCGTCCCGTGCCTCCCGTTAGCATAACCGAGACGGTGACATCGCTCTCCAACTGAGCTCATCAGCATGTGTTCCACGGCCGCAGCGAACAACACGTTACGCTGTTGGCGTACACGTTCAGAGGCGAGAAGAGACGGTGGCCCTCTCTCGTAGCAGCTGCTTGCTAACGACGCTGCCGGCCCCTGCAGTACGCTCAGCCTACAGGGCAGCTGACGTCATCACCAACCGGTGCGCCTCTTCGCGGTCTGCCGTCCCACAGCGCAGCCGGAGAACGAGGTCCAGAGGTTCTTTCCTGGCTCGCCACTCCACCTTCCTCTCAGGAGAGACGCAGGAGTTTTGCTGGTGATCCTCCTTTCATCAGCGAGAGATCATTTCAAGCTGCTCCACGGCTGCTCTACGCCCCCCCAGCTCTGCTACGCCAGCCCCTCCCGTCAGACGTCCCCGGCATCCGGAAGTTCATTTTTTTTCCCGGACTTCGCCAACAGGGGGCCCTCCAGGACAACAAACAGAGCTCAACGAAGGTAAACAGGTGTCGTTTTTGGCTGGAGGTGTGTTGATGACACTGCGAATAACATCATTTTATGATGAAGTGTCCTTTAGCCAGACTGTCAGCATGGTTATCTGACAAGCGGCTCCATCACCCACACTCATCACGAATGAGCCTTTTAAGGTTGTTTTTCATTCACTGTCAGCGATGCCGATGCGCGCCCCCGCGGCAGGAAGGCGCGCACGCAGCTCTCAACAACCGCCGTTCACGTCAACGTTCACGTGAGATCACGGTACGAGCTCAGCAACGTATTTCGCTTATCGGCAGAAACGACACAAGTTTTGTCATTGCAGTGATGTCAAACGCGCGCTCCCGCGGCGTTAGCAGTTTCACAGCGGCTCTGCCCCCTTTTATCCTCGAAGAAGGTTTTCTGAAATAATATTGCAGCTCGTGGAATCATTCTAAGCTCACGTGATTCGCAGCAAACAATGAACGTGTTCTGCAGACCGAGCCAGTGGTAACCCAGTGCCAACGCGCGCCCCGCAGCAATCCTGGTGTAAGCGTCGCATGAGGACGCACACACACAACCCTTCAGGGCGTGTCAGCTCATATGTGAACCTGCTCCCGAGTGTTACACGGTGCAGCTGCACACAGCATAAACAAAGCTGTTTTTTCCCGCAGCAATACACAACGTCTTGCGCTCTCACTCAGCGCGCTCCAGTTCACATCAGCATGTATGCGAGTTTCACAGCATAATGCGTGCTCGTTTTATAACTTATAAACGGGTGGCAATGAACGCGCGTTTCCCAGAGGGATGGGCGAACCGTTTTCATCCGGGACTCACGCTGCAGTTCAGCTAAAACCCCGGTGTGGGGAACCCTGTGACGTTTTTTCTGTCATTTATGAACAGATCTCGTCCCCTCTAGCAGAAGCTCTGGAAATTCTGTTTTAAATGTAATTTCTAGAGCCTCAGATGGAGAGGAAACACCAGTTCTCTCTTATCACTTCCTGATCCAAACGAACTGGAAAGATGAGATTTATTTGAGATTGTTAATTTTCTGAGCTGTGAGAACAACACTCCATTTTAATTATGCATTATCTGGACACCTGTGGCTGCTGAGCAGCTTGTTCAGACAGGTGGCAGCAGTGCAATTCACGTGAATGGTTGAGTGATATCAGCTGTTTTCTGTCAGCAGACCTACGTCACACACATTTAACAAGCTGTGGGGGCTCTGTGCTCCACACAGCAGCTGTTTTAAATGTTTTTTGGAGTGTCGCACGGGATCCTTGAATGTGACTCAACACTGACCTTGAGCTGCAGAATCATCAGGGGTTTTGATTTTCAGACAACAAGCGTCTGTCGCATACATACTAACAGGAAATGTATGCATTTTTTCAACCCATGTGCCACATTGTGAGACAGATACTGTGTGGGCACATCCAATCCGCTCTCCATTTGGAGTGGGTACATCGCATGTATCCCACCCAGAGCTAAGGCTCAGACACGGTAGAATCCTGCCAACGTCTGCTGATGTGTGGCAACACGAGAGAACGCTCAATGTCAATTATATTATCGCAGAACCATAGGACGATCCACCGCTGGGTGGACATGCCTACTCACAGCCTGTGGTCGTAATGCCTTTCACCTTCTCTCTTCCCCCGGTATCACGGGTTTTTCCGAACCAAGTTCAGGAGGAAGGACTGGCAGCCCCTCTGTTCCAAGTGCATGAACGCATCATGGTTCCCAGGCCTTACGACTTTTGTTATCAGGGCACTCGTGAACCTGCCGTTGGAGGGAGGACGCTTCTCCCCAGGCGGTGAGAAACGATCAGGAATTAATCAGAATAGGCCAGCACCTATGTTTTTTGAACGTTGTGCGGTTCTTTTGGGAGGATGGATCTCTCAAGATGTAGTGCGTACGACTCAGGAGTCACGTGCTGCACCCACCACAGCGCTGTTCACACCAAGTGGTCTGTTTGATCAACGCTGCTGTATAGAAAGGCGTAGAGGCCACCTCATGTCCATTGGACGACATGCTGTCCTTCTGCAGCAGGCAAGGGACAAAAATCTGGTGTCCAGCACGACTATTGTATGCTGCCACCGTGTTTTCTTCCTGTCTCAAAGTTGTCGTAGACAGAACAACTTCTATCATCCTCTGATGGAGCAATTTGTCTCAGATTGATATAGCGGCTGTGGGCCTGTTGTGACACGGGAAACGCTCAGTGTCAATTACGCGCTTCTCTGAGCCCATGAGACGAACCACCTCTGGGGGTGGATGCGTTTGTTCACAGTCCATGGCCCAAAACGCTTCTGTATGCGTTTCTCTCCACCCCCTCCTATCTTACGGTTCTTGAACCGAGCTCAGGAGGAGGGATTGATAGTTCTCCTGGTGGCCCCGTGCGCGTGGGTGCACCATAGTTCCAGTCCTGAAACGTCTGCTGTCGGAGTGCCGTGGGAACTGCCATGGAGGGAGGATGCTCTCCTTCAAGCAGGAGGAGCGATCAGGAGTTACCCAGAAATAGGCCAGCACCTGTGGTCTGGCCGTTGAACAAATCCTCTTACAGAGGACGGGTTGCCCACAGGATGTAATGCGCACAATTCAGGCTTCACGTGTTGCATCTACCACAGCGATGTACACATCAAAGTGGACAGCTTTTTCAGTGCTGACGTACAGAGAAGGATGTAGAGGCCTCCTCATGTTCTTTAGGTGGCATGCTGTTCTTTCTGCAGCAGCTGATGGATAGATATCTGCATCCAGCACGTTTAAAACATACGCTGCAGCCATCTCTTCCTGACATGAAGGTTTCTGAGACAGAACAGGTTTTATCATCCTCTGATAAAACGTTTTCTAAAGGTGTACAGAGACGCAGGTCTGTCCCACACCCAATTGTTTCCAGTGGGATTTAATACTGGTCCTGCAGGTCATGATCAAAGCTTCATTTGAGCCTTTGGATCAGGTTCCACTTAAATTCTTGTCTCTTTAAACAGCACTGCTGCTGGTTTTAACACCAGCTAAGAGAGTGTGTTTTTATCTGCCTTCTTTGTCGCTCCGTCATATCTCAGAATCCAGGCTGACGGTAGTTAAGCTGATTTAAGACCAATCCAGCTTTTATGCCTAAAATCATCACAAGCTCTTTTAAATCAAGAGCGATATCGTTGGAGGGGTCCCCCCCCCCCCTCACAGATCAGAAGAAGAAGCATCTCTTCATCTTCTCTGTCCGGTGCGGGCGTTGACGTG